GCGCCCTGTAATCACTAGTTGGGAATCTAGAAAAAAAAAGAAAGACAATTATTATGGTTATACTTGAAATTTATCACATTAATTAAGTCTCTGTTATCTCTTATAAAACCATGAGAAGAGATGCATGTTGTATGCACCATGTATTTTTAGTACAACCACATATGAAAAATTGTATAGTATACTAATATGAATGGGGGCATGTGAGTTTTAAGTCAACCAGTCGACTAGTGGTTATGACTGGTGGTTCTGTTATTAGATTTTTTTTCACTGACTTTAATGTGTGACCAACAATGATGTGGATGATGATTTGTAAAAAAAATATGGGCATGTAGGTCCTAAGTCAACCAGTCAACACTAATTAGAGAGGTCTGTGCACATATTTGAGTCTGAGTTAATTCTTTTTAATGTCCCAAGGTTGTGTTTGGCTGCGTGTCAATGTGGATGGCAATAGCTGCACGATTTCTGCTGCTGCTTTGAATGGTTTACTGAACAGTATTTAGAATATCCAAGGTGACACTTTCTTGATTTTCTCTTAAGCTGTAAATTCTGTCTTAATTTGACGGCACTTTTATGGAGCTTTTGTGATTGATAATTCATTTCTTAATTTGTGTGCCTATGGACCTATCATTACAATCTGGCCTTGTCTTATTAGCATTTAGATTTAGATTTAAAATAGATACAAGGAACCTGTAGTCATCAATTAATTATCAAGGAACCTATAGTGAATTTGACTTGTCTAACTATTTCTGTTTTCTGGATACAGGCATTAGGTTACTGCCATTCACAAGGTATTATGCACCAAGATGTGAAGCCCACAATGTTATGATAGATCATGAGCTTCGAAAACTCTGGTTGATAGATTGGGGCCTTGCTGAATTCTTGTGAATTGAACTTGTAATGGTAGTTTATATAATGCTCTTGTGCTTGTGGTCAGATTTGAATTATATATGCATATATATATATATATATATATGTGTGTGTGTGTTCTGGTCAAATTTGAATTATAAATTCGAATTTTTTTTACCGAAAAATATAATGTAGGGGCGGTTCTAAACTGAACCGCCCCTATAAACAGGTATTATAGGACGGCTGATACTACAACCGTCCCTACAAATCAATTTTGTAGAGGCGGTTGGCGTTACCAGCTGCCCCTACAAATCGATTTGTAGGGGCGGCTGATAACACCAGCCGCCTCTACAAATCGATTTGTAAGAGCGGTCTAGGAACCGCTCCTATAAATGCATGATTTGTAGAGACGGTATGGTAGGGGCAGCTGGCCGAGACGCCTCTACAAAGCCTCACTAGCCGCCTCTTGAAACCATTGTTGTAGTAGTGAGATGAGCTCCATCTGTCCTGAAATATAAGGTATTCTACGGATTTTAGGATATATTCTGAGGTAAACTAGACGCGTATAACACTCCGTTAACTGTAAAGAGATCCTATGCTTACTATATTTGAGACTAGTGGTAGAAACTAATAATTGGTAATAAATATGACCCATACTTTAGGACAGTTAACTCATCTAGAATACCTTATAATTTGAGAGAAATTTTGAATGTTTAAATCCTTTTATATTAATATATTAGGACGGAAGGGAGTACTAACTACTACAGTTTTCCATTTCTTTTATAGTAGCACAGTTTTTGATATGCTAGAATCTCTCTCTGCACTTTATTTATTCATAGATACTGCCTTTACAACAAGTTGTTTTTTTTTCTGTCAGAAAAAGGGCCTAAGCTTATTAGTTGCACGATTAAAGAATGGCATTTAAGCTACACTGTATATAATCCAATAACTGCCATCTTGCACTAGAGCAGATAGACTTGATTGCATATATCAAACATATCTATCTCACCAGTTTTATGGCCCACTTGAGGGTTATCAGTCCAAACTTTGCCAAACATTGTACAGATAACACATCAGGTACACACACACACAACACACTAGACTTTGCTTTGAGGGCACGTTTGAGCTTCCTCTATATAATGATATATGCAATCAATATATGGAAATGAAAAACACTTAGAATTAATTTTATTACGGTCAGCGAAACAATAAATGAAGAAAGCAATCTGTCAACATTAATAGGGAATCTTAACTTGTAAGTGACATGTTGCTATTTTATTTTATCATGCACGTATACAGTCCATCACTTTCAGTGAACTAATACAACCTTTGGTTTGCTTAGTACCCTATGTGTTAGCAAAACATCAAACCATATCAAATCTTTGACACAGTACTTCATGATGTCACGTTGGTTAGGAAATAGGATTGATCGAAGAGATTGCACATGGTGTCCTTTCATGTGGTTCAAAGTTCATTAAACGATGCAATAATTTCCAAGCTGCTACAAAGGGTCAAATCGCCCGACAAAGAGTGATCCAAAATTGTTACTTTCACAGTAAATGTGCCACATAATTCAATATGATGTACAATACTTTCTCCATCCTAAAATATAAGACATGAAAGAATTCAAAATTTATTCCAAATTATAAGGGGTTTTAGGGAATTAACTCCAGTCGCATGCATACCTTTGATTAATGTCTATTCTCAGCACAGCCACCAGACACAAAGAGTTTGAAATAGTGGAGAAAGTTGTTGTTAAGAAAAATATCATAAGCATTCTAGAACAACCATAACCACATGTATTTGAATTTGACTTACAAATATTGACCAGGTACAGTTATACATACTCCAAGTTGATCAGTTCCTGGATCCTCTACTACTATCAGGACAATTTAATAATTTCTCTAAAAAAAACCCGCCACTTATATAGCATAGGGCAGGCATCAACTTGTGGCTATGAAAGAACCTATGGATGCATCCAAACATCTAAACCGAATCTTTCTCTAATCCAATCTAAATAAGAACAGCCTTTCTGCCAAACATCTGCAAATGATATGAATGGAAAAATCATCTCATTAATCAATGAGATTTACAGACAGCGATGTGGCTGACGACATGCGGCATGGTTTCAAGCTAATCATGCACAGTAGTGCCTATTTCATATCATTGCTCGTCCAGATCAATGGGATACTTTAACATATTAATTTGCTTACCTCATAAACTTGAGAAAAGCCAGGAGGATCAAAACATGCCAGCAACTACTCTACTACATCGATCAGATCATCACTCAAGACAACCCAATCGCATTCGCGAATCTCTCATTGTATATGCATCAATAATGGCATAGTTTATACTTTGGATCCAATCTGCTTAACTTTCAACGGTTGGATCCTGTATTTAGAGACAAAAAAACCTGGCTAGGTGGCCTGCTCTGATGTATGACTGATATAAGAAAATTAAGACCATAACTATACCAAATTTCCATGGAAAAAGAACTCTCTACACAGAGTACACAATGCTAGTATGTAAAAGTAGATAATTTTTTGTTGGCGATATAAGTTAAGCTTGGAGTTCACAAAGGTTATATAGTTACATGTCTATAATTATGAAATTTTCAAATGCTTATATGCTAACAAAGATTTTCCTTATTTTTTGCACCGTCTTCAAATTTATCAGTGCCGCAGCATTCCTTATCTAAAAAAAAGTAATAACCGGAAGTTTTTTTAGCCATGGTTGGTTTAATGGTTTACTTTTCCTGGATGGTCAACTTGAACGAAGTTTTCCATGATTAGTTGATTAGCTTTTAAAAAAGATAAACTTATCCTGGCAGAAGCATGACTGCTGCTAAACTAATGTTTGTAGGAGCTGTCTCAATCGTTCGGTAGCTTTGTTTTTCATGCGAAGCAGATATGTTTGAGTTAAGCTGATACTATGCACAATATATATAAGGGGTTAGACAACTGGTAATGACAGTACTAATCCTCTTCCCATGTGAATACGAGAGATCTAACCTGTACCTGTCTTCTTGTCTCCTCAATGATTCCTCCGGAGTAGTGATCGATTCACAAAACATTCAGCAATTGAAAACTAGGATTTGTTACGCGTCCCCAGGCTAGTACACCAAAGCACTAAACAGTCTAACAACCATGGATAAACCAGCACTGCACAAAAGTACATATAATATATACAGTTCCCAAAACAAAATTGCTAGACCTATCTGAAAACTTTCAAATTTCATGAAGATGCCACCATCTATTCATTATTAGATACAAAAATCAAGGCGAGAATATATACAAGGTCAACCTATGAAAGAAAAAAATGGCAAGCGTGATTGAAGCAGAAATGTTTGGGGGACGCATAGGCTTTTGATGTTGGACGGAGATTAGAAATACTATGTTAGGCCTATCCTTTTCTTGGCACTACATGGAAGCATCTTTGGCACACTAAAATCCACGAGGTGATTGGCCGGAGGAGCTTGGATTTGTTTGGCATGCTTGCAGCTGCAGGGGACCCCACACATGGGCTCAGAAGCAAGCTCATGACAACAGGGATGGGGAATCTTATATCTCAAATCTCCTCCCTCCTCCCCTGCCTCGCTACCTAGATATAACAAGCCATGCCGGCCGGCTTGCCTCCCAGCAGAGACCAGAGCTTCTTGGCCTTCTCTGCTTCTCTGCTCTTGTTCTTGCAGCCAGAGTTAAGTTAGAGAGAGAGAGATTGCGCTTTCTGACCCCACCGGTAGTGTCGGCCGGAGATCCTGAAAAGAGGTGAGCATAGAAACTGCTTCTCTGTTCTTGTCCTCTGTTTTGTTTCAGGGTCCGTAGTGTTTCACGGGTATTTTCTTGTTCTTGTTTTCTTGGAACAATTTCTCTGAAAATTCTGAAATTCCAACGGCCGGATCACAGTTCCCATTTGCAGCACCGAGTAACTGATGCTCAAATTCTCATGAAACAGATCATGGACAGGGAGCCGATGAGGATGGCCATCCTGAACCAAGAACAGATCTTCAGACAACAGGTACTGACTGATGGCACATTTTATCTGCGGTTAATTTGTATATTGCAAAATACGCTGAACTATCTCTACATCTCAACTCGACGAGGTCACCACAATTTCTCACCACTCTCTGCGTTCCTACTGAATCAATCAATCAGGTACACGAGCTGCACCGGCTGTACCATGTCCAGAAGCAGCTGATGCAGCAGGCACAGACGACTACTCCCGCGAGCCACGCTCCGGCTCCGGTTGTCGACGTCAAGCCAAGACCACAGCAACTGGACATCTGGTGCGGCGAGACGGCGACAACTCCTCAGCAGCAGATCATCAGCTTCACCAGCTGCAACAAGGCCACAACACCGGCGCCAACTGCGCTCGCCGAGGAATGCAACCTTGAGCTGACACTGGCAACAGGACCGAGCAGCAGCAGCAGCAACAGCAGCTGCCACGCCGAAAGACGACAGGGGAAGCGGCTCAAGGCGTCGTCCACCCCGGACTCCGGCGCAACCGCGGTGTCGTCCACGTCGACGGACTCCGAGCTGGCGCAGTTCAGGGAGGTGGACGTGGCGACGCCGGTGAGGTTCCATGGCGAGGTTGGCAGGAGGATGAACGAGATGGGGCAGGGTCCGTGGATGTACCAGTGCCTGAGCCTGAAGATGGCGTGATGATGCTGGGACGAGTTTGTGGTGTATGTAGGATTTGGGGATTTGGGGTTCTAGAGTTCAGAGGGAAACAGAGCACGTGTTTGTGTTACATGCACAACTGTACATCACAGAAGTGTTTCACAAGACAAAAAAATGAGAAAAATGTGGTGATTCATGGCAACAAGTCTTATTCATAGCGTTGATGATTTCTATTGGTCTAGTCCATCAACCCATCCATTGGCTAAGACACCTAAGAGCAACTCCATATGTTTTCTCTAATTAGCTTGTTATAAACCGATCAATTTAGCAAGTTAATAAAATAAGTAGCAATCTCAATTTAATTCTATCTCCAATAGTTTTTTATATTAGCTTACTAAACGATTTTGCATTGGGAACCCTATACTATTTCTAACCAACCAAACCTCTTTTAATAGTTTCTTTGTCTCTTACCATTTTCTCACATGGAACCTTTTATTTTCTTAATTTACTCATGCGGCGAATTTACTCCGATTTCACCAATAAAAAGCCTGATGGAGAGCAGATTTGGAGTTCCTCTCGACTACAGAGACTTAGAGTTGAAGAGGATATTTGGCAACATTTTATTTTTAAGGAGCACTTTTACCAAACTGCTAGAGGGGACATTTTTTTCCTTTATGCTAATCAAAATAGGAAATTGTTTTACAAAACTCTTGGAGATGCCCTAAGTAATTTAAGTTTGGTATTCACAACCTATTAAAATTACATATATTTGTGCATCTTTTTTTGTCCTTTTTGCATATTCTAAGTTCTTTTTTCTAGGCATACACATACTTTGTTATAATCTAGGGAATTATCTTATATTTTTTCTAACCTGGGAGGAGAGAGAGAAAATCCAAAATGACAACAGGCACCCCTGAGCCGTCTCACATAAATCCAACTTAAACCCGTCATTGGACCAAGCCCAACTGTTGGGTCCATTGGCTTCACCGTGTTGATGCGGTTGGCGTAGCGGTTTCCCCGTGCGAGGCAACTTTACATGACTAACCTCCCCTGTGATGACACCTTGGATGACAACTTTGTCACCGACTATGTGGATGAGGCGGAGGAAGACGACGGTGAGGACGGGTTCATGCCCGATGAGATTGCCCCACCCACACCTGCAGTGCCATTTTGGATGTGGAATCACACGAATGGAACATGAGGGAGAAGAAGAGAGACACGTGTTTAATAGGAGGGAGAAGAGGTGACGAGCACCAATTAGGAGGGAAAATGAGATGCATGACCATGAACGCTCGGTGGCGACCATGAAAGCCACGGAGGTGGTGCTCCGCTATTATGCTTCCAGAAGGAGTGGCGCAGGTGGGCATCCGTGCAGGAGGCATCCGTTTCACCGAAGACCATCTAGGCTATCTCACTTGTCCTCACACTGAGTGACGCCTCGGGCCCCTAGACCACCACTATCTGGCCTCCTCGTCCTCTAACTCCTTACTGACCCACTCGAAGCTCTAACCAGCCTCACTGCCTCAGCATCTCAAGCGCTCCTCCCTCCACTATCGTCATTTGGAGCTAGAAGAAGGGGACTGAAAAGAGAGGGGATGAATGCAAAATGGATCAAGGGTCCTATTTGGGCTAGACTTATTAACCTTGTTTCATTCTGAGTGGTTGAAGTCATGTGCTTGTATATGGAGCCAAGGCCAAAATGAACAAATTAAGCACATCCTTTCTCTCTCCTCCTGAGAAAGGAATGGATATTTTAATGGGCATGGTATCTTCCAGCAAATTTAATTTGTCAAAAACCCAAGTGTCCACAAATGAATTGGACTTTTTTCGTGTCCATTGGAGATTCAGTTTCACTTTTAGTAAAATTTCCCTAATATTTAACCCTCCCTTGTGCTACCATGTCTTCTTTTTGGCGCTTGATTCCAAGGGCTAGATTGTTTGAATTAACCAACACAACAAAAATATCTCAATCACCAATTTTTTTTGTACAATTGGTTTCAAGGCCTTACTTAAGGGAAAAGACCTTTTGTCATCTAGGCTAACTTTAAGGGGAAGTTTTTGTTTCAAGAAAGGGAGAACTTGCTAATGGAGTATATCCATGCTTACCACATAAGGGACATAAAAATGGTAGGAACAAGGTAAGATAGAACCTTCATTTGGTAAATGGTAATTATGCATATTTCAATTAGCATCTTGTGATCTTGCTCGTGTATTGCATCCAAGAAAGTAATTAGTTCTCAATTTGGTATGTTTTATTGCTTCCTTTGGTTGTATTGTTATCAACCACCAAAAGTGGGGAGATTGTAAAGAATACAAACTCTAGCATGGATTTAGTGATTTTGGTGGTTGAATGACAACATATATAGTTGGACTAAAAATGTTTTGCTAGTATGCAAGGCACTTAGTCTTATGGATGCAAGAGATGGACTATAGATAAGTTATTATGGTGAATACATCAAAGGAAACAACACCTCAAATGAAGATCAATGGAAGCATTAAAGTTCCAAAAGAAAAAAAAAGAATAATTTCAAGAGATCAAAGAAGTGAAGCCCCCAAAAGGATGCAAATAAGTGTAAGTTACAGAGCACTGTAGTAAGCACTACAAAAAACACCAGAGCTTTCTGGTGTGTGTTGGTATTTCTTAACGCAAACGGAAATAATCCGTAAGCGCATGAAAGTACCGTTGTAGCACTTCACCCGGAAGTATTCAGGGTATCATATTTTCCACAGGGAATGGAGGTACTTCTTCTAGATAGTTCATCCAAAGACAACACAAGGGTAAAGTTGGAAAGGGTAGCTAGAGATGGATTCCTATGGCTTTTGGGTCTATGAGAAGATAAACTCTACTCTTACTAGCTCGCTTACTTTGGGCACCGGCTTATGCTTGGTCTGCCAAGCACCTCCGGCCTATAGCTCTACGTCGTACCCGAACGTGGGGATTACAAGGGATGGACAGGGCTGTCACCACCTGCCGCCTACCCCTCAACCGTGGGTCATGAGGCAAATGAAGGTAGGCTCTTGCCTAGACACCACGTCTACGCTATCGACTACTACTCTAGTGTCGCGCAGGGTTATCCGTCTTTACCAGGGCCCTCTACTAGAGTATTCGTCACAAGGACGAACGACGAACCCTCAAACAAGTAAGAGTCAAAGTTAACTAATCAAAAGACTTTTTACCATAGAAAACACAAACAATAACTTAGTGGAAAGTTCCGTTGAGGCACAAGTGTTCATCGAGGTACAAGTTGGGGAGACACCGACAAGCCCGACGCTTCCTCGTACTCTCCCTCACATCTCTCGCTACTAACTCGATCTACTAGCTAGCTAGGGCCTAAGCCCTTTGGAGTTGTGCTCTTGTGGTGTAGCTCTTTGCCTTGAGGTGTTGTTGTTTATGAGGAGGGGGATGGCCTCCTTTTATAGGTGGAGGGGAGGGAATGTCCCATGGCACATTCCCTTGATTCCTTCCTAAAATAACCAACTGCCATCTCGAGCATTAATTCCACCGTGATACGCATGCAACCGTCATTGGAGAGGCGGTAAGAGTCAACCGACCAAACATCAGGCCGAACGGAGCAGGTGGGGGTGCAGCTGGGCTTGGTTCAAAACGGCCCAGCTTTGTTGGGTCGCCTCCTGTGATCCTCTGGACTAGGCCCATGGTGGTTTCGCGCGGAGTTGAGTTGGTTTGGTTCGATTTTGGGCTTGTTCGCCACTCTTTTGGGATATCTATAATGTTGTGTTTCTTGTATACTTTAGGCTCATTTTCTGTGTAATCTTGACATGTCCTCCTGCAAATGAATAATCACCAAAACTCGTGGAATTGATTAGTTATAAGTCCTAATTCTAAGTTTAGTGTTTATTTTAGCAGATTTTATGTAAGAATTGGCGGTTAGAAATTGGAGTTAAGGACCGCCAATAGTGGGCACCAGAGTTATCTGGTGGTTAGAGTCCAAGGTAGAAGAGAAGAAAGGTGCACGACATCCTTCCAGTGTGTGCACCAGAGTTATGTAATAGAGCCTAGCTATGCATAGGTGGTCGAGCATGGAGCTATCTATTGTTTGCACTAGAGTTATGAGGTACATTCCAGCGAACACCCCCCAATGCTCTAGGTTGAATAACAAATTTGTCTAGTGGTGCACGAGACAAACCACTAGAGTTATAATGCAACATTTGGCAATGGCTAGTTTGTATATCAGTGGGCACTAGATTTGTCCGTGTGGTCACTAGAGAGCTCTAGTGCGCCAAGGCAGTTCTAGGTCCCAATGCAATGGCTAGTTGGTGCTTGTGTTTCTATATATATACCCCCACCCCCAGCCATTTATGGTTAATGTGTGTTGAAGTTGTAATTTAATTGAGGCTCATCTTATAGTGCTCTAGGCACTACATGTGTGTTCAAGAGAAGATTAGGCAATTAATCAGCAAAAGCATTAGGATTGATGTTTAGGCTAGTCAGAGGCCACCTTAGCGCTTGCTCTAAGTTTAGGCATAGAGTCTAGTGAGGTTTGTAGACCTCCTTCCTATATGTGCTTGTGCATACCAAGAGTTGTACATGTTGGTGCTTATAAGTCTTGCGAGACCTTGCTACTATATTTGTGGAGTGGCTATTGGTGGTGTACAACAGACGAGAGGCCCTCTGCGTTCTTGCCAAAGCTCTCCTATTCGAGACGATGGGGAGCGCTCTAGGAGAGGTTTGACAGAGGCCCAGTTTCGAGTGGAAAAGGCCATGAGCTATCCACAGAGTTACCCAATGGGGAACTTATTGGCTTTTGCGAAGGCCTCAATGTGAGAGGCTTCAACATAGACTAGTGAACAATGTTCGCTTTTTGATACCTCAGAAAAATTATCATCAATCGAGAGTTTATTTTCTCTAACCCCTTATATTTCACGCTTATATTCTTGCATTCCTTCCAACCCTTAGAAAAACCTAGTGCACTTATAGATAGAATTTGTGTAGGTTTTTATAAGTGGTTTCGAGGCCTTGAATTGTTTAGTAACCTATTTGACCTCCCTTGTTGGTGTCAGTCTCTTCAGAACTTGAAGGAATG